GGACTTAAGGCTTAGATATGTCCATTGAATCAATTTCTTCGCTGGAGCTAAAATTTAATAGATTGCCGAGACAGCCAAATCAGTGATGTGTTCCTCACTTATAATCCTTCTATCTCAGCTTTTCAATTTTCATATAGAAATGTATAAATGTTCTTCACTGGTTTTGTATAGAAAAATTACATTCTAGTCAATTGGCTAAAAATTCAAATTAACTAGTATTGAAAACTTTTTTAAAAGAATGCTCTGTAGTTTGGCTTTACTTGCTTTTATATTTGAGTATTATTCAGTATCAATATTACACAGAAAGCTGAGTTAAAGTATAATACTGGATCAGAGACCCAGCAATAGTAGAATAGGAGGATTTGTTTTGGAGAGTCTTAGAAGGAATCTTATTGAATCAATCAATATACAGCTTGGATCCAAATAATAGAAGAAAGTAAATTATGTATCTTTATAATATTACATTTTTCTTTGGACACTGTTGAAAAGTTCTGCTTACTATAATTATTTATAGGATTTAAAGCTAAATTAATAACTAGGGGGAATATATTGCTTGAGAAGTGTGCCGAGCCAGCTCAGCCAAGGGTTTGAAAGCCTGAGTGAGGGCGGCAAAAGGATGAAGAAATGACAGAGAATAAGCTGGGTCTAGGTGGATCTTCCTGTGCCTGGCTGAGGCCACAGAGAGAGATCCAGAGACAAGCTGAGCCTTTATTTTATAGCCAGAGGTAAGCAAGGTAGTGGTCACCACAGTTACAATGTTCTTGTGAGTTTCACTTGTTTTGGCAGCACTTTTTTTGGCTGCACCTCCCACAGCCCATTAGCTACCTAGGAAGGATCTAGGGAGCGTCATAAAGTCAAGCCTAATTATGCTAAGAAGACTGTGCCCTCTAAGCTGGGACTTGTTTGTGGCTTTGGCCACAGGTCAGTCCGAGGCTTAACCATATTAGTCGCCCTACAGAGAAGTTATAAGGGCCTAAAGCTTGAGGTCCTCTGGTCTCCAGTGTATCTTACTGGCTTGGTGCCAACTGGTATCTTTGCTTCTCAATGAATTTTCATCACAAAGCAATGCTGCATTTCACAGAGCATTCACTTCCATAAAGAGTTGCTAAAGGTTAGAATGTATGTGTGTTAATTCATCTTTAATTTTACCCCTTTTTACATTCATGTCTCTTTCCGATTAAAAAAAAACACAAAAAACACAAAACACTTGGCTATGCAATATGGTGTAGTGGTCCAAACATATTTTATGTAGCCCAACAGACACATTTTTCTGTCTTAAATAAAGGATCGTTTTCATTATTGTTCTTTCATATTAAATTTTATATAATTGTATATTGGTAGGTGAATTTTGAGATAGACATAATCATATTGGCGATTTGTCCCTAACAGTACCGTTATTGTTATTGATTCTAAAGGGGTTGTTACATGTGGCAAAGGGGAAGGATAGTCAATGAACGGCTTTCAAACTAACAATTAGTAATTTAGGGACAGAGAAAGCAGCCACAATCTTTTTAAAAGACATGTTTTGAATCTCAGAAAATAATAACCTATTGGTTGCATGTTAGAATTTCTCTTCGAGAAATGGTCCGTTTGTATTCTCAGGAGCCAAAAGGAAAGAATAATTATCTGAGAAGTAAATTGAGTGCTGAGTAACACTTTTCCTGTTCATTGATGTATCTTAAAACTTAAAATAGTCATTTCTCTTATTTTGTACTATGTCTTTTTTCACACACCAAACACTAAATGAAGTTAATAGATTGTATAGCAATGCCAAGACAGGTAATAATTTACATGTTCTCTTTTGTATATAAAAAATCAATATTATGTATTAGAAACCCTGTGGCATGCTGACACAGAAAAATCCATGTTCAAATCAGTTTTTGTACAGACAAATGACCTCTTATGTGAACCAGACAATGATTAGCCAACCTATTTTCCGATTATATTTCTAAACTAGAACCTACAGAAATAGATGAGCTGTGACAATTTTCATTTAAAAAAATATAATTACAGATGAGATAAGCTTTGGGAAAAGATTTGAAAGACATTTCTTTTTTCTTTTGGCAGTGAATGCTCTCTAAATTTTCTTACAAAATAAACTCATTACTTTAGACTAATTTATCAAGCATGATCTCTTTCAAGACATATGTTCTTGATGGCATTTAAATTTTGCTAATAGCGAGAAATAGTTGAACTACTAAGAGCAAACAAATATTGTACACTTATAAAATCTTCTTATGTGCCTAATTATTGTAACAACATGGGTGGGCAGAGCTGAGACCAGGTATGAGTATCCTTGTTTTACTGATAAGAAAATTGTGTTTCCCAAACGATAGGTGATTGGCATTGCAAGCTCCAATAGAGTGGCTGGAGTTCTCTGTAATTTTATTCATGGTCACCAAGTCTTTATTTAAGGTGCCAGAGCATGGCAGTCATACAAGTAGGAAGGCATCATTGCTCAGGTTAAGGAGGGGACTTCTTCTGAGGCATCCCACCTCCAGGATTTTCCTAAACCGCTCTCCAAGTTGGAGACCTCAGCTGCCGCTGACCGCTTTGAGAATGATGCTGTAGTCTTGAGGTTCTTTACCACCATTTTATCATTTTCTATCAAATAAACCGCATTGCACACAGATCTTTGCTGTGTTTTATTAGTTAACATTTATTATATTAAGGAAACTTCTCTACTTATAGTTTGCTAAGAGATTTAATAATGATGATTGAATTTAACCATTTTTTTCCTGCATCTGTTGAGATGAATGTATCTTTGTCCTTCAATATCTCAATTTCATTAATTATTTTTAAAATGTTGTAAATCTTGGCATTCCTGGGACAAGCCCTATTAAATGCCATATTCAACAACAACAACAACAAACAGGTGGTGTTGAAATCAACTTGTCAGGATTTTCTTTGGTATTTTTGGATATGAGTGTGTAAATACTAAAACATCACTTTATTACAGAGGCTTTCACTCCAGCCCTGGCTTTGTCAGGAAAGATGTCCGGAATGACTTCCAGAAGACATTCGGTCTAATTATCATAGTACCCTTTTATTATTATAGATAAATCTATAATTTTTTCTCTTTTTCTGTCATTGTCTGATTTTGATAGTAAGGTTATTCTGGCTTCATAAAATGAATTGTGTAACTGTCAAACATTTTGTATAATGCATATTTTATTCCAAACACTTTATATAAATGTATATTTATTTCTTTGGATTTGCTATAGTCTAGTGTTTCCTTGTGAGTATAGCATGATGATTTGATTTCTTTAATGTTATAGTTCTACTTGTTTCTAAAACATTTCTTCTTGAGTTATTTTTGTTAGTTTGTATTTTTCTATAAAATTATTCTTGTTAATCTACATTTTCAGGGTAATTGGTATATTAGTTTACTATTGCTGCTGCAACAAATTACCACAAACTTAGTGGGTTCAAACAACACAAATTCATTGTCTTATAGTTCTGGAGGTTAGAAGTCTAAAATGGGCAAGTAGGGGCCTTTTCCAGGTTCAATAGATTCCCAGCATTACTTGGCTCATGGCCCCACTTCAGTCTAACCCTCCTGCCTTCCCCTGTGACTTCAAGGGCCCACCTGGATAGTCCATGATACTCTCCCCATCCCGAACTCTATAACTGAACCACAACTGCAAAGACTTTTTGCCATGCTCACAGGTATTAGGAATTAGGACGTGGACATCTTCTGGAGGGCCATTATTCTATCGACTACAATTGGCATAGTTTTCACTGCACTTTAGCCTGTCTCTCTAGAGTCTAGAATAGATGCTGCCTTTTTTTCATTTCGAAATGTGTTTATCTCTTCCACTGTCACTTTCTCTCAAACAATTTGCATATTCGCCCACTTTAATAACTACACCCTGACAGCTGTGGTGGGAGTGTGGGGTTCATTATAAAGGTTGGAAAGGCATGGTCAGCCGTGGTGACACATTTGTGCAAGTGAATTTCCCCCATCTCCCATCTCCCGCTACTTCATCAAGCAGAACTACTTGCATTATGTTCTGGATGGTGCTAAGCAGCGCCTGGTAGACTGCTTCCTAACCGCCTTCGAGGTCAGGGTGGATACTGAGCATTCGCACTCTGCATCCCACGCTGGAAACTGTCCATTCTCTCCGAATGAAACCTCGGAGCTTCCTTTCTCTCCCGGAAAACCCGAGGAGGTGCGCGCCTCACTGTACTACCCGCGGGGGCCCGAGGCCTGGGCATGCGCACGGGCCGCAGCGGATTGGCA